AGCCCAAGCAATTCGTTTCTGAATGAGCACCGTGACAGCTGGGCCTCGTACCAGCGGAACAAAACTGCAAGCTGGCAAGAGTGCATTGGGTTTATAGATAAAATTTTGGAAAGCACTTGCCGCATGGCCTATAACTAGTCTGAAGTATGATGTGCAGACATGGATGGACTGTGGAGTAGGTCCAAGTAAACGTGAAGTTGAATCAGGGCTGCTGCAGTGCAGGGGGGTGTTGCGGGCATGAACCTGAAAAAAACAACAGCAAAGAGGCTTACATAGGGGTTGCTGACTGATGTAATGCAAAGCAGGGGTGCCGTGGGCTGCCTCAGAAAAAGGAGAGGACATCGGTGCTTAGAAGGTGATGATCATTCGAAACACCACCAGAGTGAGTAGTTCTTTAGTAAAACGTGATGAAGAAATGAGCATCTCAAAATCTGCTTTGCAAAATATGATTGACTTTATGGAGATTTTTGTGGGGATTCGAGCGAGCTTGTGGTCTCTGCTGCACAACAGCGATGGTGGAGCGAGAACCTGGAGGTCACTCTTTGGCTGTCACAGAAGCTGACAGCCAGTCTGACCTCTACGGCATAGGATAACCTGCAGACCTAGCACAGTCATCCGTACAGCAAATGATATTGGAAATTAAAGGTCAGAGAATTGATAGTAAGGCTTAAGAAAACAGCAATTAGGCTGCTAGGAAGAAAAGCTAAATTACCGGTAGTACGAGTAGGGGGAAAAAAAAGAGGATTATTGATCTAAATATCAAGTTGGCAGATACACAGAGTACAATCTAGAGGTTTTTTACACCTCTGGGCTTATTCAACCCCCACAATAAAAAATGCAGGCCTATAAAGATGGAATAAGAAGCAATCAATTAGGATGGCATTTGCTTGTTTCCATGCTGCAGCTGGGCAGGCACATCACAATTAATGATTTATTAGGAGATTTTCGTCTTTTTTTTTTTTTCCATTTTACACAGATTGCTGCAACCAGACCGCAGTTGTTTATTAAGTTGCCTGCTATTCAAGCGTCTTTGTTAAATATTGTGTGGCAAAGGTAAACAGTTGGCTTGCAAGCCAGCGCTTGGTTGGGAGTATGCCCTTTAACATGAAAGAGCTGGGGGCTGATATTCAGGCTGGGTGCCTGTGCACAGTTTACATGGGCAAATGCAGCCCTGGTTGTGCTGGGTTCCCCGGCTCCATGTCCCCTCGTATCCAGAGCTTGCTGCATAACAGGGTGGCCTGGCAGCAGAAAGCTGTGAAAGATGGGACACCCCATGCCACGTGCACATGTGAGCTCGCTCACTCTCATTTCGGGTTTTCTCAGCCTGGGGGACCTAGAGAGAAGATGCAGCACTTTGCAGGAGTCATAGCTGTCAGGGGAAGGACTCAGCGTCTAATAAGAGCACTGAGATGCCCTTATTCTTTTGCATTAATCCATAGCTATAGGTCATAAACCACTTATTTCTCTAGGCAATTCAGCCTTCATAAACTGCTTCTGCCTGTAACAAATGTTGCATCATCATTAGCGAATCTTGGAGACAGCACAAAAATCTTTCCTGCAGATACTCATGTGAACAAGTCTTTGTTTTCACAGCTTTTTAGCAAAACCTGCTAGAAAAAAGAACAAACACTGGAAAAAAGGAATTCCCTTTAAAAGGAAGCCTGAATAATTATCTTCGTATTCATCCATCTCAATTCCGCACTTCCCTAGGAGTGGCTGCAGTGAGCTAATTGGTTTTACTCTGCTGTGCGTGGCTTCACTGCCCAGACTCCAGATTTATTGCACAAAGTCAAGTCATTGTGTGAATTCATCATTTGTCCCCCCACATCAATCCCTTTCTCCTCCCGAGTGATACTTGTCTGCATGTTTATATGCTGTCAGGTACCAAGTGAGACAAAAGACAAACTCTGGGATTAACAAATTTTAGTATAATCTGATGCAGCCTGAAAATCAGAATGAATTATTACCTTTGCAGCAGGACATGACTTCAGACAGGCCAACTCCAGAGGAATGAGAGAAGGACTTTTACCAGCCCAGGCTTTTATAGGAGGGGAAGAAAAAAGACCCTACAGAATTTAAGGATTTAAGACCATGCCAGGTTCAGAACAAATCCTTAATCTGAGAAGGGAAGCGAAGTGTGTAACAATCAGACATACAAATTTTTGTGAATGATCTTTCAAAAGCACTCTGGAAATTAAGGACTTCAAATGTAACAACTGAAAGTGAAGCTAAATGAAATACAGGGGAATATGAGTAAATGCTACAAGTATAGGTCAAGCACTGCTTTATCAATCTTATGTTTACTCCGGCAGCTCCTCCGTTGCCCATTGTTTTACCTTGTTTGAATAGGTATGCTTCTCTTTATTTGAAAATCAATTGTAATCTTATGAAAGAGAACTTACAGCACAGGGAATGCTGGAAAGCAGCACAATGAAAGATGGCATTGTTCGTTATCCTAAATTACTCCAGGGTAGGGAGGAGATGACATTAAAGGAGTGTGGGTAGCTTTTAGCTGCCATCCTTCCTTTAGCAGATGTAATTTAATGTCATTACTTAATTTTGTTAAAGGTAAAGACAATTGCGGACAATACACATTATGGCACTTCCTTATAGTAATGATAGTGTGGGAGTGTTAGAAGGAGGAAAGACAGCCTCTGGTTTGGATTTCCAGTAGCTGCTGATCTGTAGCTGATGAAAATTGTTCTGTTCTTCATGGTATATCTCTCCAAGATCCGCTTCTTAACCTGAACACCTCTGGATGGCTCCTTTGATTCCAGTGAAGGTACTCTGTTCTCCTCAGAAAAATATTTGGCTTTATAACCATAGTAGGCAATGTCCACCCTCAGTGCTCCGTGATCATTCCCGAAGTATACCTAACAGGTATCAGCAACAACTGGATGAATGCCTGGATTGCTCAGTATATGCCAAGCATTGTGGATTTTACCGTAATGGAAAAGCTTTATAGACTGTTGCAATCTTCCTCCAGGCTTTATGTTGAGATGTGCTTGTGTATTTATAATTTTTAATATACCTCATTTTTAAAATATGTCTTGTAGTAAACTTTATCACTATGGGCTGAAAACGGATGTTGTGATGGCTTTTACAGAAGCTGCTGTAAAATCTGTTGGCAATTGTGGGAGATTTTTCCATGTAACCCAAACTCATTGGCAGCCCCTGGGTTATGACCTACTGAAGGTGTTCAGCAGCCTGTAGGACTGACCCTCTTAAATGTCTTAAATACAGCTGATGGCTTGCTCTTGATGAATTAATTCTGTTTAGTTCTGCAAGGCATAAGCCTAGTAGTAATGGACAAAAAAACTGTGATCCTAGGTCAAAGACTGGAGATGGTTGCACAAAGTGCTTAACTCTTTCGAAGTTGCAGTCCGATAGCTTGACGTTAGCAGTGCAGCCACCTCCTAACAGAGACTGGGGGCTCATCAGCTTGTTGCTGCTGGCATGCCATACGACATAGTAATTTAATATAACAGGTGATAACTAGTGTGGATTCAGTAAGAGACAATCCTGCTTAACTAATGTCCTTCAGTTCTTTGGAGCAGGTTTCAGACAAGGTTGATAATAGGAGGGTACATACAACATAATCTAATGGATTTTTCAAGAGGCTTTTGATAAATTTCCATATGATATTTCCCCTGCTTAAGCTGCGTGCCACAGAGATTCCAAATTGGGCAGGAGAATGGGTAAAGAACGAGTGAAATCATGGGAAATAAAGAGAAAAGGAGCTGCAGCGTGTACTGGAATTAGAATTATCCTGCAGCTTCCCACTGTTCGTCCCCACCACTCAGCATGGCTGGGAAGAGACGCCATCTGCATTCACTAATGAAAACTTGTTTAGGACAGGTGCATAACAGAAAAGAGGGCAAAATGCCATTCAGGATACCACTAAAGGGCAAATTTAAATTTACATTAACAAAAGCCAGATTTAATATTTTTGCTGTCAGTGATGGAATAGTATATACTAAATATAAGCACGTGTAACTGAAAGACTCCAATGGATGGGCATGGGTTAGGAGTGGAGAGGGACTCTTGTGCTAACAAAGGAATGATTTATTATCATTTACATAACCTGGCATTTGTGCACACCAAAGGCCAGATTTTCAGAAGTGCTCTGCTCCTGCAGTTTGGGGCCAGGATTTCAGCTGCAGACGCAGAGCCAGCCGCTCCCATCGTTTCCCCAGTGGTTTAATTTGCCATATGTCAATCAGAGTGTTGATTTGCAATTGGTGCTAATAGGTGATGCTGAGAGATGAGGGCAGTTGAAAATTTGGGAATGTGTCTTACTGGCAGCTTTTGAGCCCCAAACACTGGAAGTATTCGCAGGCCAGGATCCCTGATCAGCCATATGATAAATCAAGGACTGGAAAGCAGAAAAGAATGAAGCTAATGTGTCAGGATATGCCTGAACAGAACATGCTCCATGAAAATCAGTGCTAAAGGAGAGAATTAAGCACCAGGAAAGGCTGTGGCAAAATCACGAGAAACACTTCAAATAATGAGGCAAAATCAAATCAAGGGCAAGAAAAAAAGAAAATGAAGTAAAATCACTGCAGAAGCAATAAAATGCCATCACTGAAATCTGAGTGAGGCAAAATACCTCAGGTTAAAGGGACATAGTCATCCTAAAAAATGCACATTTTAATCTGCCATTTTTACCTGCTGTTGACAGTTAACTCTCTGATTGCTGTAAATGAACAAGAATATCAAGAACATTTTTTGTTCATTTGCTTCAAACACTTGCTGAAACTTGGGCAGTGGCTGGGTGATAGCAGGTTTATCCTCCTTTGGGCTGAGAGGTGAAACCAGGCTTTGAAAGGTTTTGAAAAATATTCAAAGGAAAAAAATAGGAAAACCAGAAATGCGGAAGGGATGTGTTGCTCATACTGTATAACCCCGTGGTCCTCTTTTGGGACTGATCTCCCAGTCAGCGTGCTGATGTAGGGCAGAGGGGAGGTAGCCATGAGGACCGACAGAAAGCTCCCACCATGACCGCTCCTGTCTTTTATTTGCAGTATTCAGGAGAAGTTCCTGAGAACAGAGTGGAGGTTGTGGTGGCAAATCTGACGGTGATGGACCGGGACCAGCCTCACTCCCCCAACTGGAATGCCATTTACCGCATTATCAGCGGAGACCCCTCTGGCCATTTCACCATCCGGACAGACCCCGTCACCAACGAAGGGATGGTAACCGTTGTGAAGGTAAGGGGAAAGGCAAAGCAAATCCGTATTTGTCACCCTTTCAGCTAGCTAAGGCTACAAGGATCGCCAGAAGCCTGCTGTTATTTCATGCCTTCTCTACCTAGGAATACAAGTGCTCGGATCTGTTGTTTCCCGTCTCTGTGCACGAGTCCTGAATACTTTTACTTCAAGCATAGGCCACTGGTTCTGGGTTTCCTAACTCAGCCCAGCCCACTGTAAGCTTTCATAAACTCACGTGCTGAAGGCTCTTCCCAGCATCCAAGCCTGACCTCCACGTCCTGCTCCTCCTTAGCTTTTTGATGCTGTAAGAGGGAATGGTGCCTGGGCTGTGCAGCCCTGCCTGGCAGCTTTAGGGCAGAGGCTGCACCTTCTCCTTTCTGAGCCAGAAAACTCCCCGTTAGCTGTGAATCAGGGGTAACGTTTCACTGCAGGGAATCAGTCAAATGATCCTCTGTGAAAGCAGGGAGTGCAGGAGAGATTTCAGGAGGAGTGAATTTCATGGTAATGGAAAGACAGGAGAGATTTTCCTCTGATTGAGTTGCTTGGCAGAAAAAAGTTGGAGAAATTTTCCTTTTCCTAGTATGAAGCCATAAACACATAGACAGATCCTCAGCTCAGACTAGCTCCACTCAAGTGAAAGCCACTCTCCAGGTCAGATCAGCAGAGGATCTTGTCCAAAGACTCTGAGAAGTAAGACTGTAAGTATCCACTGTCCCTTCCTTCCTCCATCTGTTGTCTTCAGCATTAGAAGAGCTGGAACCCTCACACGATATCTGCAGCAAGAACCAAATTCTGTTTCCCTCCTTGCCTCCAAAGAACATGACTTTATCTTCATTTGAGAGTTCACTTCCCTTTCAGTTACTGAGGCCAGCAACCCAGGCAGTGAATGCTTCTGCAGTCATTACACACAGCCAGAACATAACCGGCTCCATTCGGTGCTCACTGAATCTCTTCCCAGATAAGATGCCTATGGATGCTCCCTCTGACTACCAAAAAAGTGAAGGCATCACGAATAGGCTGCTGTGATCTGTAGGAGCTTGCGTGACACGCACTGTGCACTGCACCTGAAAAGGATAATACACGCTGTGATGGATAAAGCCTGCATCTTTTGATAAGTCTGGCCTTCTCTAACAAAAAGTTTTAATCAACAACTTAGGATGAAACATTAATGTTTAAAGAGCAGCGTGATTTAAGAATAGCTCTGTGTTGAAAAAAAGAGCCCCACTCCCTTGTAGCTAATAAATTGCAGTCATTCTTAATACATCCAGTTTGGGTATTAGGAAAAATGACATCAGTGAAATGCCAATGAGGTTACGCTGGTAGGAACGTGTGAGTTTGTGAGCTTGTCCTGTGCTCTAACCCTTAGGCTATGTGTGTGTGTCTGCAGATGCCACTTTGCTGAAACTTTAAGGGAGACATCATCTTACCTGCTAGATGGTATTTCAGCAGGGTCCTTTTATTTATCACTCTCTATTGCTCTGTAATGATGGTTGACAGCCTTATTTGGTGCAACGTTACAAAACCTCTTCAAGCTTAGCAGTAGTTCTAGACACGTGTATATGGATGCATATATATGTGTAAGTACACACATATCCATATGTACATATTTTCTGCTTAAACAGAAAACATTCACCAAAGTAAAATGCAACGATTTAACTTCCGTTGACATCAGCAGCCAGTCTGAAATCGAAATGCCAACATTTTCACTGCAAGCAGGGGAGGAGCCCTTATTCTTAATCTAGTAAAGTGTCCTGACTGTAGTTTAAAGGCACATCAAAGTGAACAACAGGGGATTTACATGATCAACACTGCTGCACAAGGACTTCTGCATAATGAACCATCCCTTGTTCAGAACTTGCAGGCAAAAAGCAGGGTAGATTTGTCAAGACACCATTGATGCTGGTGTTGACTTTCCACTGCTGTGTAACCCACAGTGATCACAATGCAAAGAGCCACATGAAAATCCTATCTTGTCAAGCTGAGCGCAAAGCTTGAAATTACATTGAATGTCTTCACTATATAACCTCACCTGATCCTCCTGGGCACTCACAGTTTCTTACCCTTATCAAGCCAGGAGGCTTTTTGGTGTATTTTCAGCAAGGAGAATGAGTGAAATTGCTTGTGATTAAATTTTCATGGTGAAGAAGGGAAGACTCTTAGGATTCCACCTTCTTCTTTGAAATATTTTGTTCTCTGTTAATAAGTGAATATGCTTAAAGATTTGGGGAATGTATGCACGTCAAACTGGGTGGCCGGTCAGAGCTTGTTCTTCGTGGCGTGGGAGCAGTCTCTTGCTGGTTTGATCGCTGATATATATTAAGAACACAGGTAAAAAATTAAGTCAAGTAATGAACCTTTTATTTACAGACCCTACATGGCTGGATTTTGATGTGGCTCTTTGAAGCTGCTTATACATAACTCCCCACTGCTGCAAGCAAAAAGTTTTGCATCTGAGCTATGGCAGTCACAGAAACAGCGCAGAGAAGGGTGCTCTGTGAAGAATCCCACCCTTTCACCAGCAGTTTGGGGGCCAGAAAGGGAGGGCCAGAAATGCTTCCAGACCAAGAAGCCCTTTGGAGTTCAGGTGATGCTCATGGGGGCCATTTTGCAGCTGCTGTCAGCAAAACCCCCTCTGCTGCTGCAGTCCAGTCACCCAAAGTATAACATTTCCTTTTTCTGTTCATGCCTTTCCAAACCATCTCCATAACGATGCAAGACTCTAATCTTCAAAGAAAGCCTTGATCAAGGGGAGAGAGAAACTTCCCACTCAGATGAGACACCGCAGAGTCTGAAGACAATCTCCAAGAGCAGCAGTGGCTGCCCTGTGGCAGCTGGCTAAGTAAAATGTTATTATAAACTCTGCATGGATCAGAGCTGTGAATTTGTAATGGAGATGCTTCCGAAGCTTCTCTTATTATTTGTCTCAACAATAACATGAGGCAAATTTGTTCGCTTCCATTAAAAGTACCTTGAGAAAAGGAGGACACGTGGCAAGCCCTCGGCTTTGCTCTGCTACATCCAAGTTGGAAACATTAGTGAAGGAGGAGGATGTGCAGCATCTCCAGGGGGAGGTTTCAGAGCCATTTGTGCCAGATCAGATACTGAACATCCAACAAGGGGTACCTGCAAAGGTGCTACTTTTTAATTTCATGTCACGTGCTTCTTGGACATGAAATTAAAAAGTAGGCAGCGGTCCAGCACCTCCTTGTCCCGAACATAGTGGCTCTGTGGGCTTTTTCAGGATTCTGCCATCATAGAATCATAGAATCATTTAGATTGGAAAAGATCTTTGAGATCATCAAGTCCAACTATTAACCTAGCCTTCCCAAGTCCACCACTAAGCCATGTCCCTAAAACTGTGTCGGACTGATCCAAACACAGTATTTTCAGTGAGATGAATGGAGATGGAAGGGGTTGGTGTGGTGTGAAGAGCACAGAGTGCTCTGTGCACCATTATCCTCAGAGGGAGGCAGTTTTAGAGAGCAGAAGTATGAACTGTTCTGGAAGAAATTGCTTATTATGATGTGAAAGAAGTTCTGCTTAGGGCTGGACTGTGTCTGGCTGCAAGGGGCTCCTTTCCCACTGGGGACAATAGCACAAACGCTGCCATGAAGGCACAGGCTCTTGACTTTTACCTCACCACCACCACCACCAAAATATGTGAAATGGGACTCAGATGGGCACAGAAGAGAAGGAGGCAGATCAGCTCTCTCTTGCAGACTGAAGCGCGATGTACATTGTGGGATGGGCGTTACTGGTGATCCCAGTCCAGCCCCGGTCCCTGCACAGCTTTTCTGCAGCCCTGCTTTCGTTGCTCCCAGAAGAGAGAGAAAGAAGCTGAGAGAGCAGCTCTAGGTGGGGGGGGGAGAATCACTCCCTTGCATCAGGCCACGTCCTAGCAGATAAGTGTGTGGTCAGTGTGTCCTGTGCATCATCAGGCAGGGAGCCCGGTGGTTTCCCGCATCAGTCCCCGCCTGGAGCTGCTCAGATCAGCCCCCCCGGCTCCATCTGAGCCACTATGGGGAGGGACTGGCTGTGGGCAAGGTTAGAAAAAGTGAAGATGGGAGGAATATAATGAGAGGGATGTGAAAAGAAATCGAGGAAATGCATTAGTCAAATTGTTTCAAGGCCTTGAATAGTGTTTAATTGGGAACTTTTACCATGCATCTTTTTTGAATGCGGTACAAGTCCATGAGTCAGTGCTGGTGGGTGTACTGGGAATCTTTATGCTTCCTTTTATTTATTAGATGTTGGCCCTGCCTGTCAGGAAACCATTTAGCAATAGGAACATTTGCACTTCAATCGAATAGAGATTCCACTGTTTTACCTTTTGCCCCTGAAATTTGTTTCTCTCATGTAGCCTCTTATGATTTGATTTCTCTCCTGACAATACTGGGTTTTAAACAGAACATGGAAGCCAGATCTCGCTGATGTAAATCAGTACAGCACTACTGAAGTCAATGTAACCATGGCATTTTACACCGTGAGAGTACGCTTTGCAGACTCAGCGCTGGAGAAGGTATTACGGAGAATGGTTACGCTTCTAAATTTATAAATTATGGCAAAGCACTTTTTAACAAGCAGAGGTGTGATCCTGCATAACTCAAGCCTCCCTGGCAGGTGATTAGCGACTTCCCTCATAATAATTAGTGGGATGGTTTAGAAATTATTATTATACTCTGGTTCAGTCAGTTGTGCCAGCAAAGGCTTTTTACTCCTTCTGGCTCCTAAGACACGTCATCTTTATCTGCCTGTTGAAAAGAGATCTGTGGCCATCCAACAGCAAAAGGTATCTGTAGGAGTGTGCAGGCAACCTCAGGAGATCACGAGGCGTCTTGCAAGAGGACAAGAGGTCCCACTGGAAGGACCACCTGATTAACCGGACCAGGCATTGTTCCCTGCAGCTCCGCCTTTGCTAATAAACTCACTTAAGAGGAAAAGTGAAGAGCACTTCAGGTTCATGAGTCCGCATAGACTGTCCTAGTTACTTAGTCAGCAGCTTTAAAGGCTAATAGCACTGTTAAGTACCCGTCCGGTTCCTCTTAACAGGCTCTGCCTGTTGCATTCAGAGCAGCCCGTGGTGGATTCGTTCATTCAATGCTCGACTAACACAGGCAGGTTCTTTTTTGGAAACCACTTAGCCTTGGAACAAAACACAGGGCAAATCCTCCCTGCTGTTTGCAATTCTTACTTTGTGGAGTTTTTTTAACTATTTGACCCTCCAAATACAGGAAGGCGAAATCCCCCACTGAATTGAAGCTAGTCTGGATTTACACCTTCAAAAGAACTGAGCTCAGGAGGAAACGAGTTGAGGCAATGACTTTGATATCATCTGCCTTCTAAATCGTGCAGCTTTCAGCCAGAAGGTAGAATTTATTCTCTGCTTGGCTCTATACTTGCTTGTTTGTTTGTTTTAGGCAGTCGATTATGAGATGAACAGAGCTTTCATGCTGACAGTGATGGTATCAAACCAAGCTCCCCTGGCCAGTGGCATCCAGATGTCCTTCCAGTCGACAGCAGGAGTCACCATTTCAGTAACAGATGTCAACGAAGCACCGTATTTCCCAACGAATCACAAGTTAATCAGGTTGGAGGAAGGAGTGCCTATGGGGACAGTCCTGACAACGTTTTCAGCGGTGGATCCTGATCGCTTCATGCAGCAGGCAGTAAGGTGGGAGACCAGGCAGCCAAGTGAGCTTACGTACAGGTGGGGGATTTCAGCTGCAGAAGTTTGGGGAGCAAAGCAGCTGAAAGCTAATTCACTAACTGATGTGATATGAGTGAAATGCTTGGCAGGACTGGCACCCTCAGTTGAGTGCTTGCTTGTGTGTGCAAGCTTGTAAACTCACAATCCTCCCCGTTCCAGGTAAGCCAGACTCTGAGCAGCTGGGTCCAGGAGGGCAGGCAGAGTTGGATCCCACGTTACTGGCATGCAGAGGGTGGTTCGCAGCTTCAAATGCAAGCGGTCGATAGCAAGGGGTCCCTGCGTTGTTACAAAGACAGAGGTCAGGGCTGCATTGTACTAAGTGTTTTGTCTCTGCCTTGTCAAGTATGCTTTGACCTGTGTTGTTCATGCACTTTATAAACACAGAGGTTTAGAAAAAGGCAGCGTTGTTATTTCTGTTTTACGAGGGGGGAAACTGAGGCATGGAAAGGGCTAGGGCTAGATTTCCAAAGGGAATGACTGGGATTTTTAATCATGTCTTGTTCCATGCTTAAAAAGCGCAGTGCGAGAGGAGCTGTCAGCCCATTCAGGCAAGGCTGACTTGGTTACAAACAGCTGCTGAACAGACCTTTAAGGTGTCATGTAGTTAAACATTGCCGAAGCAGGCAAACACCCATTCACATGCCATTGGCACTTGGTCTTTATCTGACTAATGCCAGTCCGATAAAGCAGCCCAGCAGCCTTTGCCTGCTCTGCAGTAAGCAAGATTTGTTCTGACCTTCTCTTTACCTTCAGACCAACTGCCAAACATAACCTCCTCGTTAGCTGCTTTCCCTATGAATGGGATTCGGCTGGCCAAATTGTAGCCCTGTAAAAGTCAGATGTTTGATCTAAGCAGTTTAAAATCAGATCTAGTCCATGCTGCAACCGGGAGGGTGTCACTCACTGTGTTTTGTCCCACCTGGGCAGACTGGGGACTGAATCCATGGTCCAGGATCTCGACTCTCAAGCCTTCCCACCAGAAAATACATTGGCAGAAAAGTGTGTGTGAAAATGACAGTCCTTGTGACACCTTTCACAAGTATTTCAGTCTCTGTCTGTGCAGACGAGAAATGCTTTTCCTGCTCTTGGATACTTCTACATCCACAGAAGTTTGCTTCTTTTTTACTCCCACTCTGTAAGGACTGCAGTATTTTTAGCAAAACCTGAGTATATGATGTGACCACAGCCGAGGCCACTTAAACTTACATCAGTTGTGACATTTCGTGTCAGGAAGAGTTTGAAATATTTCACCTGGCACAGAGCTGTCTGGTCTAGAAAATGATAGTTTATTCACTGCCTCATCTTGTTGTCTTTAGACAGGTATTGTGACTTTTCAGGAGAGAGACCATCCTAACTAACAAGCCAGTTTTTCTTATATTCTTTTTGAAATATTGGCCTTTGAAGGGTCTTTATTTCCCTGACGTCTGTACCAAGGCTGCTTTTCAGAGGAGAGAACAGCTCATTTCTGATTGAATACTCCCTCTAACCTGGAGGTGGATGATCTGTAATCCAAATGAGCATCTGCCGTTTCTGGAAGAAGGACCGGCTCTGCTGAGCCGTTCCTGTCATTGTATGTGCAGGGTCTTGTAAGACTTTCTGTGAACGTGAACAGCCAATTATTTGAGTTGTTTTTTCCTAGGGCTTCCAGGACAAACATTTTGTGTATCCACCAGCACTTCATTTCCAAACCCAAGTACAATCTCTCTTACCCTCTTTTCATCAGGACAGCCCAATGCCAAGGCTTTGCAAGAAGCAGTGGGGCATTGTTGGGGTCCTGTCTTTGTGAGCTATGCAAAGGATATTTTGTTTTTTCTTCACAGTTAGTATTGGTGAGTTAGGAAAAAAGATACCCAAAAAGCTAAGCCTACAGATCCATGATAAGCACTTCACAGAGAGCTGATCCAGCTGCTAGAGTCTTGCATACAGTTTTCAGTCTCTCTCTAAATACTCTTTGATTAAATAGTGTTTTTACAAATAGAAGATAAGGAAGCAGGAGCATCTCCAGTAAGGCACAGCTTAGCATGGCCAATGTCACACCTCAAGTGATCCTCATTAGCCACAGACACATTCACAAAGCCAGCTTTGAAACTGGATCCTTGGTCATTTAGCAGAGAAAGGGCAGGGGACTCACAGTGGTGATATTAAAAAGAAATGAAAACATCCGAAAGAGTTTAGCTCCATGAAATGTAATTCTTTCCTTTGGCAGGGGCTTGTGCAGCTCTGTGTTGCTTTCCTGCTCACATGGGTTGACGCAGCTCAAGTTTCACGTTGAGTTTCAGCTTCAAACAGCCCTTCTGGAAAGGGATATTCACCTGAAGCCAGGAGTCCTCCTGCCTGTGTATCTAACTACAAAAAATTTATATAAAACTATCAGCAAGTCTGAGTTACCCATGAAATAAGCTCAGCTTTTGTTTGCTTCTTTCAGTAATTTATAATTTGGCCATCTATTAGCTTCCAGTTTAGGTAATAAGGGTCCGTCTCAACTCAAACTGTACAAAACTGAGAGGTAGAAATCAAAAGCAACAAATAAACTAAAACCAAGAAAACAAGCAAGTGAGAAAGGCAAACAGAACAAGTTGATCTGGAGAACATGGACGAAGTTTGCCCAAAACAAACGGTGTTTATAGCTGGCTGGTAGGACATGAACAGGCTTGGGCTGTGAGTTGGCTGAGTAGCTGGAAGGCAAGTCTGCTGTTGGGTCCTTCCAGCCCAGGGCACGCTGGGGACTGCCAAGGGGACCCCCTTGTCGCTGCTGTCTTCCAACCTCTCACATGCATAGGGTCATCTTACTTGCTATTTCAGGAACATATAAAAATGTTTCAGGAGAGCAGACCTGAAACTGCATCACCCTTGGGTTGCACGCCTTAATACAGCTGTGATTTCCCATTATAGTGTCCCCAAGGCAATTGCTGCTGAAGATACGACTCTGATACAAAAGAGTAGCCTGAAAACTGCCATTCTTCCAATGTAGTATTCCCAAATTCTTGTTTATTAGTGATGAGCAGAAAATAGGAATATCCGTGGTTTTAGAGCAAGAGCTATTTTAGGAAGGGCAATGTTAAGAGAAGGAGAGCGCAGGAATCCACCCTCTAATTCAGGCGCATGAAGGCAGTGGTCATTGCAGACCCCATTTTTCCTCAACTGCAGAGACCTCAGGCTATGTCCATTCCCAGCAGCGGGAAGCTGGCATGTAAGTGGCACTTAATGAAAAGAAGAACCTTTAAAACGAAAAGAAATAGAAAAATTGAGTAATTGTAGAGGTCAAAAACCAGATACTCTATTAGTATTTTGTTTGTCAACAAAACTAGTTATCCAAAGGTCCTTTGAATCATGGGTCAGGAGTCCAGAAAAACCTTATTTCAAGCAATATTAAGGATATGTCAGTGAAAAGACTGCCATGTATTTATTTCCTTTCTCTGTAGATACTCCAAGCTGTCAGATCCTGCAAACTGGCTGAACATTAATGCCACAAATGGTCAGATCACTACTGCTGCTGTCCTTGATCGAGAGTCAGACTACATTAAGAATAATGTCTACGAGGCCACATTCTTGGCGGCTGACAACGGTGAGCCCAGGCTTCACATTGTTCATGCTTCAATAAGACTCTAATGTGATGCATTAAGAGAAATGATGCCCTGACAGAGTTGTCAGTATAAGTTATCTTTTTCCCAGGTTTTTATGGTCAAAAATGTGAAAGTGGGATGGGAAATTGCTGGAGTAAATTAAATGTGCACAGTATACGGAGAGTGTTAAGAGAAAGGGAGGGCAAATGGAAAATCGATTTGGGGAGTTCAGTATAGCGGTGTAGCCTGAACTTAAAAAAATATCAAAGGGATCTGCTCTCCAAGGGCTGCCGAGCACACTGGTCCTGGTAATCATCCCAAAGGCACTGACCAGAGCATTCAGGAAGGCTTGCATCAGGAAACTAGAAGTAATTGTAGGGGATGGCAGGAGGGTGTTAAAAATAAGGCAATCCATTGAACTGCTGCGGCTTTCATGAAAGGCATCTGTCTGTCTGTCATCAGAGCTAATCCCTCTCTGTCCACTACCATTTCTGAAACGTCCAGCCATCATCAGGGCACCTGGATGCTTGTGTACTTTATTATCAAAGTCACTGATGCCGGTACAGACCATCTTGTGGATAAGTCCTGTTAAGGCTTGCTCTTCTCTACTCATTAAAGATCACACAGTGGTTTTGGTCAAATTAGCACTGTGAACCTCAGCGTGGGCCTCGCTCAGCAGTCCATTGCTGCTGTCCTGAATGTCTCTTCCTAATTCTGATTAGGAGGAATTGACGACTTTTTTGCTACCTGTACCTGTGCAGCCATGCTGTTAATGTCATTCATCATTTCCTCCAGTTGGAAACAGCTCTGTAGTTTCCCTGGGCAAGAAGAGGGCCTTCCTCCCCCTCTCCCACCCTCACATTTCCCCTGCAGGGTGCTGAGTGCTCACATCAAACCAGAGCCATGCTTCAGCAACAAAATTAAGTCCAGGCTTGGCTGCGAGCACCTAAGTATATTGCTTGTACTCTGTAGGTGCTTTCAGGACAGTGTTTGTGTTAGCTGTTGTCATCCCTCAGGCTGAAGGGTTCCATGTCCATTATGAGCAGATACGGTGGTGCTTGCAGGGCTAATGAAAACTTGCTCCCTCTGGGGTTTCAGGCTTCACTTCAGTCATTGCATCCTGGGTCACAGGGGCAAGGCAAACGCATGGAAGAGTTTCAATGCTGAGTAGTAGTACCAAGAAGGAAACTTTGCGCCTTCTTTGTGCCATCAATGGTAGGACTGGTGTGGTCCCACAGCCCCATCCTAAGTTTCTGCTCTGTGAAGGTAACCAGGGCAGTGAAATCCAAAATAGTCTCATGGGGATCTAGCAGCGTTTATCTGCAAGAGCCACAGGGCAAAGCAGGTCAAATGAGTTGGCCAAGGCTATTCACAAAAGCAGTGGTAGAGCTTGAACCCATCAAACTAATCCTCACCATCTGACCTTGCAGATCCCGGGCACTTAGTACAAGGTGATTTGGAGTTAACCCCTTTCCTTGGCTTCAGTGCTGATGTTGCAGTGCATCAGCACTTCCACATCCATCATTCAGCAGCTCAGAAAGTGAGGACCTAGATAAATCTTTTTATTCTGAAAAATTAATCTATCACTGGTATATTGCAGCCATTAAGATGCACATAAAGCAACACCGTATTTAAAATTCTGTCGAGTGTGCTTAGGATAACAGCTAAAGTTTCGTTTAGGCTAATAGACTCTTTCCACATTCCTCCAAAGTTCCAGGCTCTTTGGCATCACATACTCAACAAAGAAAGGCTTTGGCTCGAGGGTTTTGGTGGGGATTTTTCTTTCTTTCTTGAAGAAGCAACATCTTGTTTCCTTGAAGTTTTTTTCGCCATTCTCAGTATGAAGAAGTTTAGCCAAATACTCCTTGGTCATGCTCTCTTTCTCTCCCTGGGCTACAGTGCAGAGATACTCACTTTAAGAAAAGTCTTGGCTTCAATGTAAGGGGGTAAAAAGGGGAATCCTAATCAACAGCATATTTTTAGCCTCGTTTCTCAGGAGAGAGAGAAGGTACGCAATGACAAGAAGATGTCAGTTAGCCACAGGCACAGTTTACTTCATTTCTGCCGTGATTTGTCAGTACAGTGGCCCAAGTTCCTTATACATCTTTGCACAAGCAGGATGGGAGAAACTCCTGCTTGCACCTGAACATGAAAGCCAGATGGCTTGTACCTCGCTCCAGGAGTGCTGACACTGGCACTGTGAAAAAGGCAATGATGGGGAATGCAACAGTTAAATGTAGATGTAACCGTTGTATATTCATCTTTCTTTTGAAATACTGTCATTTGTATTTCAATCTTAATTTCAGGGAGTGGACCAACTTCTCCACTGGAGTCAGTGGTGCTATGGTAGTCCTCATCTCTTGAGCATAAAGTCTAAGGATCCTTTGTAGTACATCAATACCTGCTCTATCCACGTCCTTGCTCTCTCCACATAAGACAGCTGAAATAATTTGAAATATTCCATGGTTTGTAGTACTTGGACATTTAAGAAATTGTTTACTTTTCATTTCTTTTGAGATCGCCCCAGAACTGCACTCAGGAGCACAAAGAACGAAAAATACCAGGAACTGGAGCCCAACAGTACCAAACAGCCCTACAAAACTGCATTTGTACGTGCAGCAATTGCAGGTTATTTCAGCCATGTGCCAGTTAGTGCCTCTCAGGACTGCTAGTTTGCATTCAGTCTATCTCAGAGGCTAGAGTGTGAGCCTTGCATTCATCCCAGAAGACATTCTGGGTAATGTGAAAACAGTGAAATCACTTTGCTTGGTCCCGAACGTCAGTTTTCATGTTCAGCGGCAGGATCCTGATGGGCTGTCTGTCTCTCCAGAAGCTTTCAAGGCTGATCAAAGACATTGTTTTAGAGGGAGACCTACTCTGTGCTTACTAGATGAAAGGATGAGATCACTGATTGAAGAGCTTATGTAGGAACCACGGAAGAAGGATTTTCAGGGGTCCTTCAGAGTTTTCAAGGCTCCCTTGAAAAATGGAGCAGAAATGAGAAAGGAATGTAGGAAGGAAAGTCTGTGGAAGCAGAAGCAACATTTGAAAGCCTAGTGGGGAAGTGGTTTGTGTAGCTTTGTATCTAGCACTGGGAGGAAGAGCCAGGACTGAAAATACAAACTTAAAAAAGAATTGCTGGAGCAGCATTGTCTGAGAAGGGAGGCGGTGGGCAGATCAACATGGAGCTGCTGTATGTATGTGTGGGGAGAGAAATTAAAAATACTGTGCCATTTCTGGGAAGGCTGTTCTCTCTTGCCAGGGCAGGTATTACTTTGTGTAAGTGGTCATTAGTCAGACAAATGTAGCTCTTCATCAGTAAGGGGCTGGAGGACCAAGACTGCTGTGCTGCGGCATCCCTGCTGGTTGGGACAAATGTAGAGGGAATGAAGAACTATGTTGGGACATACTGCTGCTGCCATGGGTTAGTAGCATCACCTAACATGTTTGGTGATGGTTAGCTCATACCGTAGGCTTTGAGCGAGGACCTTCCACCGCTAAAGCTAGGGCTGACTGTGAGATGGGCTGGAGAGTTGGGCTTTCTTTGAAGCAGTGTAATAGTCTGCAAATCTAGAAACTGGCTGGCAAGTGCTACGGGAAATGCTGACCAACGGCTTACGCTACTTACTTTTTCTTTTCCCCTCCAAGCCCTCTTCTTCCTCTTGTTAGCTATCTTTCTCATGGTTTTTCCTCTTCAAAACAGCCATTACCAAAATTTGCTCTAGCAGCTTGGCATCACCTCCTTGTGTTTTTAGAGTTTGACTAAGGACATTGGGCTACAAATCTGCAAAATTCAACCTCCGTGTTCTGCAGGAGTGAAAACCAGCAACATTAGGAGACTTGTGGAAGTTTTAATAATACCTTTTAAAGCAAGGGACCATGAAAGTGCAGTATGTCCCTAATAAGGTCCAAGGAGGGAGGGTGAAAATCCTGGTTTATTGAAATTGGAAGGCAGGCAGGGGGCTGGTCCATGGTGTTGTCATTCCCGCTGCTCCTCGAGTGATGGTCATCAGTCCATGTTCAGCTCTACCTCTCCCGTTCAGGTATACCCCCCGCGAGCGGCACTGGCACTCTGCAGATCTACCTAATCGACATCAACGATAATGCTCCTGAGCTCCTGCCAAAGGAGGCACAGATCTGTGAAAAGCCAAACCTGAATGTCATCAACATAACAGCCGCAGATGCTGACATCGATCCAAACGTTGGGCCCTTTGTCTTCGAGCTGCCAAGTGTGCCATCTGCGGTGAGGAAGAACTGGACCATAACACGGCTGAATGGTAAATGGGGCAGGCAATCCTGAGGACATTTGGACTCCGATTCACTAATGAGGCCACGTGCGGTTTCAAACTTCCCAACTTTCCTACTTTTTTATCTGATTTTTATTTTTTAAAGCACATTATGGCTGACATTATAGACAAGATAGTTAATCAGAAATGATTTGTATCAGACCTGCAGCATAACTCTGAGAGGCTTGGCACTTGGCTTTTTTTAGTGCAGTTCATAATTATGAACAGTTATCAGTAGTGAACAGAGTATAAATCATCCATAATGGCCAAGGGGGAAAAAAGCTATTATCAGTCTTCCTTATGTTCCAGTGTAATTGTCATAAGCCACAATCAGGATCAATGTTCATTTCTCTGACCATAATTGCATAAAGGCAGCCTTTTAATTTGCCATGGAACCAGGAGGGCTAGGTAAGTGTGAAGATTACCAGTATGTGAAGGATTTTTATATTGCAGCATGCAACCACAAATGGCCCTACTTGCCCCTCTTATTGGTAGTTTCAGTAGTAGATGGAAAATGTCATGGAGCCACGGTCTGGTTTTGGATTCAAAGCCGGTCCCTCTCGCTGAGGTCTGGCATCCTTTGCCAAGCCAGGGGCAATGACTCGTGCCCTCACAGCTCGGGGCTCAGTCCCACAGCTCTTGTATCACGATGGGAGGGAACACGAGAGGGATTACCTAGCTGAGCATGTCATCCACGGGTCATGGGCTTCTGAAAAATCCCGAGGTGGGAGGGTGGGCGAGCAAAGAGGCCAGGGGCAGTCCAGACCCAGGAAGCATCATCCATGCTTTCGTATTTGCATTTCATGCCATTTTAAACGCATGCAACTGGATTTGCAAACAGCATCAAGGTGGGCTAGTACAGGAGTGAAAACACACAGTATTTTGCAAAACGCAGGCTGGTTGTTGACCAAGTTCTTAGGGCAGAAGTCTGAACCTGTCCTGCCCAGGTGTATTGTTGGTAGCCTCTTCTTCAGGACTCAGAAGACTGCTCTGGCAGAGGAGCCCTGCCTGTACAAGTGTGGCTGCAAGGCTCTGCCAGAGTGTCTGTCATCTGTCTGTCTGTCTTGGTCTCTCCAGGAGATTACGCCCAGCTTAGTTTACGAATCATGTACCTGGAAGCGGGAGTGTATGATGTGCCAATCATCGTGACAGACTCAGGAAACCCCCCCTTGTACAACACATCCGTCATCAAAGTGAAGGTGTGCCCGTGTGACGAGAACGGTGACTGCACCACCGTCGGGGCGGTGGCTGCAGCGGGGCTGGGCACGGGTGCCATCATCGCCATCTTGATCTGCATCATTATTTTACTAAGTAAGTACCGCAGGGGCTGACACTGCTGGGAGACGTTGTGTTTCCCATCCTGTTCCCTGTTGTCCCATTTCTATACGTGGTATTTTTCAAGAGCCGTGCGAGCTCTGTGCAAAGGACAGAGCTGTGAGCTTTGGGCTGCGGGGGGTGGTTCACACATCTGCACTCAAACCTCCTTCGCTGCAGTGTCAGCAAAACGAGCTAGAGCCCTCTCTGCATGCATCGGACTTTTCCTTCTAAGACCTCCAGGAACTCTACAAACATCATTACACCTGACAACATCTTGTAGGTAGTGAATGTGATATGATTCTCCACATTTTGCAGGAAAAAATTGAAGGACTTGTCCAAAACCCTGTGGCAGACTCCCCCATAGCTCTCAGGTCCCTGGCTGGCTGTGGATATACTGGTTCCCAGTGCCAGATGCACTGGTTATGAGAGTCTGGCTAGTCCCTGGCAGAGCCAGTGCATAGCTGTAGTTTTCTGATTGTTCAAAGGAGAAGAAGAATGGTAATTATTCCCATTGCTTGTAAAATGACAACAGATTGGAGAATCGTGGTGGATTGTGAGTGTTTTTAGAGGAAGGATCCCCAGTTTGTCAGGAGCACTGAAGGGCTGGGGGGTGCATCGCAGAGAAGAGCTGGCCATTCCTTTGCTTGAGGCAAAGCCATCCCTTTTGCACAGCAAAGGCTGTTAGTCCCAGGCTTCCATGAGCATTACCAAAAACCATGTGTGCACACACTTAAAAATAAAAATGATATCATTATAACTTCAAGCAGGAGTTGGCACAGTAGGAATAGATAAAAATGAGTGCTGAAATGAACAATGAGGTAAATATTCATCAAGAAACACAAGAGGAAACCATGGGACTCCCATTAAAGCTAATGGGAGTTATGGTGCTAAATCACATTTAATATTTACCCCCAATGTGTTTAAACAGAGAGCAGACAGAGCGACGTATGCTACAAATGTCACCTAATGTGGATATGATATGGTACATTAAGAGAATGGGTCACCTCTGGGCAAACATCCACCCTCCTGGGCCAGTGATGGGAATATATTGTTGTATAATTGATTTCCTGTATCAGTCTGGAGAGGGAGCAAGAAAACCGGGTGTTTGTGGCCGTGCAGTCCCCACTCCTCATCCAGCCCATCTGAGGCCGTGGAAGCATCCCCGTGGCTAGCCACGGTGCACAATTTCTGTCCTTCATTGGGTGTGGGGTCTCAGCAGCAAAATGTTTTAGGCTGCTCCCTTCAGCAGGGGCATTTGTTGGGAATGCATCGCAGTTGCACAGCCAGAAGAAGCCGTGGTGTTCGTCGGTCCTGCCACGTTTGGTACGCTGGAGTGTGCAGGTGTGCTGCTGCCGGTAGGCTAAGAGTTTGCACTGGAAGCCACAGAGGTGATTGAGCACGGGGCTTCTTTTTGCTGCTTTTGTATAAATCCAGTGTTAAAATACGATTTAAGCAGTTGAAAATCCTGTTGACTGAAATTAACTTCAGCTGAAGGACATTTGATTTAAGAGATTCCTCTTTTCATTTTCAGATACATTATCCCATTTTAAATTACGGGTTTTATTACAAAAGCTTATTTTTACATTCATTGTAATTCTAATTGACTTCTTTTTATCTTCAAGAGCTGCAAAGCACTGTATCAGTGATGAAAAATGTAATTTGCAATGAGCAGTTTTCCAGTTACATCCTTCCAGTGTTTTGCCTCCTTTCTGTCTGTTTTATACCGTGACCCCTGAACAATAGCCTGGAAAAAGGCAGATGCGGGATTTTTTGTGCTATTTGTCCATTTTAGAGTGAGCAGGTCAAACTTGATGGCTTTAAAAGGGAGAAGCAGCAAGGGGACAGATCTGAGGTTGCTCAGGTGAAGGAAGTTTCTGCCTTTACCTTTGCTCAAAGGTTCTTTTTCTTCTTCCTGATACCTGATGATGTATTAGCTGCACAAATAACACATTTAGAAGAGAAATGCAATAAAAATTGTGAAGGGTGAAGACAATAGATTTCAAGGAAAACTACATGCAGAGTGAAAATGGGTCTAACAGCAGTAATAGCACTTCCCATTCTGCAGAGTGAATAAAAGGAATGAGAGTGCACTACATCTGCTATTGACACTTCGAAGGTCTCTTTTTTTCAAGGTAGTTGTAAAGGTGTTAATGGCACAGTTTTTTCCACAAGTGCATGAAAAAGTAGCATTTAAAAAAAAAAAAAGGAAAGGCAAAGATAGACGCTGGTAACCATTATAATATTGTCTTTGTAGACTAGGCAGGTATCTTGTTGGGAGAGAGCTGAAAAGGAACAACGAGAAAAGGACTTCAATAGTCTGCTAAATAGCTCAGGTTTTATATTGCAGATAAGAGTTACATTTTCTTTCCTTTTCTTTTTTCTCTCTTGAATAGATCTAGGATAAGCATTAAAGAAATGCTGAACTATCTGAAAACAATTCTGTTAGCTGCCAGGCAGGGATGGCAGCCAATTGGCACACAATGGCAGTAATTAGCTGTCCGGTCCTCTTCTGCTCACTTCACTGAATTCCTGTTGGGTATAAACACTTTGGTGCTGGGAGGAAAAACTCAGATCCTCCTAACGACCTCCTCACGCAGTGGGGCTGCAGGCTGGGCTGCCCGCCTGGGTCTCCAGGGTCTGGTCTCTTCTCCATCCTTTCCCTCCGTGAAGCAACGCCAAGGCTCTGTGAAGAGGCAAAGGGAAAGAAAACCTGGTTGCTTGTTCTCCTTGTGCAGCTGAAAAACACAAAGCAAGTTTGGGATCTTACGTCCTGCCTGGGTTCGCTTCTGTTGGCAGCAGAATGATGAAATGAACCTGGACCACACGTTCCCACCTCCACTCTCCATCCTTCTCTCCCTTCTCCTGCAGATTGCTGCCATCACAGCTTCGTGTGTGGCTTGCATGGAGAACAGAGAGGGAAGCAGACACTGGGAGGTGTAACTGCATCAGCTACCCAGGCTTAATTTAATTTTTGATGGCATTATTTGCAGCTACTGGGTACAAGAATGAAAACAAACACATTAACAGGTTCTTGAAGAAGACACGATCTGGTTACCTTATGTTAGTGGAGACTTAAGGTCCCGGAGCGACTTCCATGCAGTAAGTCACAGGGACCGCACAGCCGCCAGGATGTGGGTGGCCCTTTGAAGGGTGAGGTTGTGGAGCAGGGAGCCAGCATTCACTTTGGGTAAAGTTGTTTAAAAGTGGAGAAAAATTTCTCGTGACTCAAGAACTGTTCATCTCTTACTGTTACTGTACTGAGAGAGATTAGCCAGGGCCTGGCATGTGAATGCTGATGCCTGAGGAGGCTGGCTGTGTGCTACCGGATTTGCTGTCCCTTGTTCTGCAAAGCTAGCCCTGCTCTCTGAAAGGATTTGAAATGATCTTAGATCTGCTTTGCAAGTCGATGGCCAAATGCATATGCTAATGTCCCAGCTAATGTGGTCCTGGAAGTCTGGAAAGCCTTCCTCCTGTACCAAAGAAGAGTGTGAGAGAGTCCAAATCCGATTACAGGACCCAGTGTTACGCTGCCTCCCCAAACCAGTCTTGCTTGGCCGGTGGCAGACAACAGCAAAATGACTGCCATGGCCAGGGCTTGTGACCTGGATGGGCATCGCTGTGTCACGCTGGTGGAAGAGCCACTCGTGCACAGGTGCTGGTCACCTGTACCTGTTTGCTTCTCAGCAACTCTGCAGCTCTCTTCCCTCCGCCTTTATTTTATGCCCCTGAATAAAATAAAGGTGGAAGTCTAATCCTGAAATTCAGGATTTAGATCAAATATTTTCAGGAAGCTGCAGTTTTCACACTTTCTGTTTGCCTTTCCTTTGATTGTGTGTTTTACTTCTGATAAACATCGGCTCAATCCGCGTTGGTGATGGATCTTAAAGAAATGTTTGTAGTGAAGGCTGTCACAGTACTTACAGCTCTCAGTGATCTCTCCCTTATAAGTTAGAACATGCAATAAGATAAAATTTTATTCCTCTTACTAGCAGCCAGTGAGGTTCTCCATAGTGGAAGAGGACAGGGGAGACCTTAAGGCAGGCCACCACGCTCTGACACACGCAGCCTGGCCTCGCGCCGTGTGAGGTCCCAGCTCACCCAGCTTCTTCCCCGTTACAGCCATGGTTCTGCTGTTCGTGGTGTGGATGAAGCGCCGGGAGAAGGAGCGCCACACCAAGCAGCTCCTGATCGACCCCGAGGACGACGTCAGGGACAATATTCTGAAGTACGATGAAGAGGGAGGTGGAGAGGAAGACCAGGTGAGAAGCTCCCATGGGTCATGGCCGAGGACCAGCTGTCAATCTGTACTCTCAAAAAGGCAGAAACCGCACTGTTTTCACTAAAGTACTTGCCAAGGGTTTCGTTTATTCCCAGGCAGCTTTATCGGCTTCCCTGGTGTGGCATGGACATGGTGAGAGCCAGCTTAGGTCCAGGGGATTCAGCCGGTCACTGGGACACTCTCCCATGCAAGCAGGACCATGCCAGGAGGCCAATGCCACATGGATTTTTCTACCCCATAGGCAGCTTCCTGGGGAGCGACTATAAATCAGTCCGTTGACACTCATGTTCAAACAGTATTTCTGTTATTTCAGTCATTAAAATTGTATATTTTACCATACCCCATCAGAGATCTTAGTAAAACCGGCTAGCAGCTACCACCCTCCCCAGACCTGTGGCTGCAAGCACTTGCCTTGGCTCGTTTGAGCCTAGAGCTTCTGTGGGCTTTCCTTGCATTTACTGAATCGTCTCTAACGTGCCTTTAATTTCTTTTAATTTCTGGATGTGTTTGTGAGAAATGTCTAAATACATTTGGGGATTTTCTTTTTCACTGCGAAGCGTACAGTGGCAAAGCTTTGCATGGTGAGAGAGCCCTAAGCCACAGTCTGCCTGAATGCAGTAGCTGCTTCTTACAGACACCGATGCTGATGTTGCATGAAAACTTCCCTGGCCCGCACTCCTGGGATGTGCTTTCCCTCTGCTACAGATGTATTTCCTCAGCTAAAATAGGAAAGTTTGGTCGCTCGTGTTTAAGTTGCTGGTTTTGTATTCCTACCTAACACAAGTAAAGAGCCCGTGACACTCTCAGATATGAAGTTCACACAAATTATAGGACTCTGCATCACATAATGGCTTTGTTCTTGGTTGCTTAAATGGACTGCATGGTTCATGGGTCTGTGCAGAGGCTGCTGTGTTCATGGTTGGTGTCAGTGAGTCCTAAAGTCAGTGGTGGAGGCTGGTGCTTAAGAAGATGAAACCACTGCAGCACGTCCTGCCGTGGAGGTCCCGGTGGCATCCAAAGGCAAGCGGGTGAGCCTGAGAGAGCCACCACGGGGAATCGAGGCCGGGACTTTGCCCAAAGTTCTTATTCCACAGAAAAATCCTTGCAATTAGCATTTCTTTTTTCTTGTCACTGACAAGTTATTTATAAATATTGCTCCTGGAGATTCGATCATCCCCGCTTGAGCAGAAGAATAGTTTTACGGGTAGAACAAAGTACAATGTTACAAGCATTCAAACTAGCTGAAGTATCTGGTTTCAGGCAACAGAACTGTAGGCTTAAATATTTTAGAAAGGATTCGTTAAAAATAACAGCAAAGGAAGAGCAGCAAAACACCACTACCTACAAAAATACATTTTTAATGAAATATTACCTGGTTCTCATTCCTTGATAGAAACCTATTCTGTTGGGATTTTTTCATAAGCAGAAAGAATGTAATTACTTTGAAAGGCCTACATGCATAAATGCAATACACATTTTAATGTTTTTACTTCTGTAGAAATGAAATTGCAATAATATGTCTACCAACACTGTGTCCTTACATTGTATTATGGGTTTCTTCAAAAAGTTATGCATATACCTATGCACATGCAAACAAAAGCCGATTTTTTATCCCAAAGATTTAGACACCATGTGAAATATTCAGAAAATATTTTAAGTGATTGATTTAAATTATATTTGAAGATGCACTCTTAGGAGGTTAATTTTATGAACTAGTCAGAGGTCAGGTTCATCTGTAATTTAGATAGTCAGAGGTGCTACATACCCGGGGATAAGATTTGCCTGTCGTACTTCAGCTGAAATAGGATTAGACCCCTTGACTTGTTTGTACCTTGGGTGAGTAGATGATCTGAACGAAAAGCTCTTGGTTTCACTCTGTGCTTTTCCATTTGTCACAGGATTACGATTTAAGCCAGCTCCAGCAGCCAGAGACCGTGGATCACGTGCTGAACAAGACACCTGGAGTCAGAAGGGTGGATGAAAGACCTATTGGTGCTGAACCACAGTATCCTATAAGACCTGTAATCCCACATCCAGGGGATATTGGTGACTTTATTAATGAGGTATGTTCTGTAGCATGTCCCGTGTCACATCTTAAAAGCTTGAGCAGCCAGCTAAAATCAGCTATGCAACGTTTTCCTGGCTGCATGGACCAAGTGATGCTATTGCTCACACGGGAAGGCTGATGCAAGGCAGGGGAATGACTGGCATGAGCAAAGGGTGCAGGACTTGGCCTAATAAAGGCATCAAGTCTGTAAAAAGCCGCAGTGCAAGCAAAAAGCCTAAGATTTCTGACTTGTGGCTATCACAAACACCGTGCTTTTTGTCATGCGGGCAGTATAACCTGATCCTCCTCTTCTATGGATTACTATGAATATTGCAGTTGCTGTCAGTAAAAATATTTGTCGGGACAGGGACAAAGGAGTGTTGTCCTGGTGGGGAGGCGGTGGCAGCAAGGCAGCTGCGGGGGTTGCCGAAAGCCAGAGGCACCGTTTGTGGCTCCTGGACTTGTAATTATTTCGCCAGTCTGTGCCTTCCTAGTAAGCTCTATTTGGTCTAAAGCCTCAAAGAGTTTGCAGAACAGAGAGATTAATCTCAGATCAGAGAGGGATTCTTTATTTTATGTTAAATTACTGCTCCTTTATCTGCTTGTACAAATAACTATCCATTTAGTATTTCTTATCTCATTTTTAGTTTTGAGTGATTGAGTGGTTACAAACCGATCAATGCATTATTTCCTCCAAGAAAAAACACACCATCCATTTCCTACATCAGAAAAATAAATGTTTTAGCAATTCTATTATTATATGCATTTCCTGCTGTGCTTTTTCTCATTTTCATCATTAAAATTCCTGCTTCCTTTGCTCCTGCCCATCCTTCATGCATACATTTACACACATCCATGCATGTGAAGACTCGCTCTTACACACACTCCAGCTACTATTCACTGCAGTAAAACCTGCTCCATCTCCCCACACTGAAACAGGAGTTTCTGAAGGTGTGAATGCAGAACATTTTGCTTTTTTGCGGGTCTGTTCCACTCAGCTTTTCCTGACGCTGGGCTGCAGCAAAGCAATTCTTTTTCTCCATATCCCAAGGCCATTTCCATGGCCTGCCTACACTGCTGCCCAAAACGCACGGGAACAGCAATGCTTCTCAGCCCTCTGCCCAGGATTTCACACCCCAAGGCTCTCCTAAATTCTGCTAGGAGTGATTATTTTTTTTTTTCTTCCTGAAGGAATCAAAATCATCAAAGTTAAAGTAATTGGTAGGAGAGGAAGGGTACTGTTCATTCTTTCATTGGCCAAGCTGGAAATCTTAACAGGCAACCCCAGAAAAGACACGCTGTCCAGAACTGAAAGCTTTCCAGATCCCGAGCTGGATCCCTGGAAATAACTCCCCTCCTGTTCCATCCAGCTCTTTTACAGCGGCACTGGGAGTTAGTGGATTTTCTGCTGGGGGCTCCACCCAAGGGGGTGTCTGGGCAGGGGGAAGCCCCAGGACCCTCATTTTCTCGCCATCCTCATTCAGCTTTTCATCATCTTCTTTTAGCTTTGCTTCAGGGATCCCAGACATCCCACCAGCCCAGACCCTTACCTGAGCACCCTTCCTTAGCACCGTCACCGTGAAACCCCATGGTGGGTATTAACGCCATGTGTTTGTCCCCTGCAAGGGCCTGCGTGCGGCGGACAACGACCCCACGGCCCCCCCCTACGAT